AAGTGGATAGTACTTAAGCAACTCAGGAATCTTGGACTGAATAGCTTCAAGGTGAATCATACATGTCATTGAGGCCCAAAATTGTTGAAGGAGAATGAATGAATCTGTAATGTGAACTGTATTCATAGTGTGATTGGAAGTGGATGATACTTAAGCAACTCAGGTATATCACAGATGCTATTGATGCCCCTTATTGCTACATACATACTGGGAGCACAGCTAGACATAGTGCCAAAACCCCTGGAAGTCATTGCAGAATCTTCCAGAATATATACTCCAGACAGAAGAAAAAATCACAAGTTTTTTGCTGAAACTAGGACCCCTGACACCCCTACAGACCAGAAAAATATATCCTTACCACATCTGTATCACAAAATATATCCTAAGGCCAAGCCGGGGCAAAAATATATTTCTAAGGTGTGACAGTGACATTTCAGGGTCCACTCACTGAAAATATATCCTTACTGCATTTCACTTGCAAAATATATTTTGGTGGTGTGACACAGACATTATAATTTTTGTGTGACATTTCAGGGTCCATGTGTCAAAAATATATTTTAGATTTCAGGGCTTTCTAGGACCCATATATATCTAGAATATAGATATGGTCCATGACATTTAGTCATGTAACTTACGTGGAGTTTGCATGACTAATAGTCAGTTGGCACTGGGTGACTGAAGTGACATCACCTTGAGTGGTTATGAAAAAAAAAAGAGTTTGCTCCATCTGTACTCAAGTGACTTCTGGGATTCGAACCCAGGGCATACATACATACACTATGTACACCTTCCAGCTTGACCACTAAGCCAAGTCAGTGCTGCAAGAGGATGTTGGTCAGTATCATTTAGCTGTCAACTATGTCACTGTAATAGAAGAAAATTCTCCTCAGACTTATTCAGGATTTGAAACCGGGGCATACACTTTGCAATTTGAACCCGGGCATCCAAGCTCGACACTTTGTAAGTCACTACCCATTCTTGGCATAAGAAAACTACCCATTCTTTTGCAAACCTTTGATTAGTAAATTTTAGCCAGCATTACAAAAAGGCCGTCCTCGCTCTACGTGACTTGTGGGATTTGAACCCAGGGCATACATACATACACTATGTACACCTCCCAGCTCAACCACTAAGCCAAGTCAGCGCTGCAAGAGGAAGTTGGGGAGTATCTTTTAGGTGACGACCAATTGGACAGGATCTCAAGTCAATGTCGGCCTAAGATAACTATCAAGACAATTACCCGTTCTCGGCCTAAGATGACCAACTCGGCTCTGCAAGCTCAGTACTTTGTACTAGGAATGTTGCAAACCTGCATTGATTAGTAAAAATTAAAACACAAGAAATCATAGGGAAGAATGAATGACTTGTTCGGAAATTGAACCCAGGCATACATACTTAAACTACATACACCTGCCAGCTTAACCACTAAGCCAAGCCAACATTGAAGATGATGTCGGTCAGTATCTTTTAGCTGTCGACCATGTCACTCTAATAGCAGTAAAAAGGACTGAAATAAATTCTCCGCAGTGACTTGTTTGGGATTTGAACCCAGGCATACTACATACACCTGCCACCTCAACCACCAAGCCAAGTCAACCTTGCAATACAAAAGGCAGAGGCCTTTCATGCAATGGCTTGTTTGGGATTCGGCACAACACAATTGCACTTCAAAAAATCAGAGAGCTGTCCTGCAATGACTTTTTTGGGATTTGAACCCAGGGCATACACTATGTACACCTCCCAGCTTAACCACTAAGCCAAGCGAAGGTTGGAAGACGATGTCGGTCAGTATCTTTTAGCTGCAGTAAGTAAAAAACTTTTCAAAACGCGAATCTATGACTTGTTCAGGATTTGAACCCAGGGCATACATAGATACACTACGTACACCTGCTATCTTAACTACTAAGCCAAGTCAATGTTGCAACAAACTTATCTCTTAGCTGGAGACGATGTGACTCTAATAGACGATTTAAACCCGGGCCTGCAAGCTCGGCACTTTGTAACTTACCCGTTCTTGGCCTAAGACAACTACCCATTCTCGGCCTAAGACAACTAACCTGTGTCTGCAAGCTCGGTAAGAATTGATTAGTAAATTTTAGCCAGAGTTACAAAAACGAAAGAGCTGCGATCACTGCAAGTGACTTCTGGGATTCGAACCCAGGCATACATACACTCTGTACACCTCCAGCTTAACCACTAAGCCAAGCCAATGTTGGAAGACGATGTTGGTCAGTATCTATTACCTGCCGACCATGTCACTCTAATAGCAATAAGTAAAAAGTATTTGAGGATGTCCAAGCCATGAAGTGTTTGGGATTTGAACCCGGGCATACTACATACACCTGCCACCTTAACCACCAAGCCAAGCCAATGAAATGTTGGTCAGTATCTCAAGTCAATGTCAGAAGACAATGATTTGAACCTGGGCCTGCAAGCTCGGCACTTTGTAACTTTACCCGTTCTCGGCCTAAGATGACTACCAAGACAATCTGCTCGGTACTTTGTAACTTACTACCCGCTCTCAGCAAAAGACAACAACCCCTTCTAGGGACCAGATCTTGGAAGATGATGATTTGAACCGCTCGGCACTTTGTAACTTACCTGTTCTCGGCCTAAGACAACTAGTTCTCGGCCTAAGACAATTAACTTAGGTCTGCAAGCTCGGTACTTTGTATGAGGGACTGGATGCCGACCATGTCACTTCTAATAATAGCAGTAAGTAAAAAATCGTGGAAAAGAATGAAAGACTTTGTCGGGATTTGAACCCAGGGCATACAGAGATACACTACGTACACCTGCCATCTTAACCAATAAACCAAGTCAATGTCACAACAAACTCTTGGTCAGTATCTCTTAGCTGGCAACCATATAATAATGTAAGTAAAAAGTATTCGAAGATGTGCAGGCACTGACTTGTTTGGGATTTGAACCCGAGCAGATACACTACGTACACATGCCACCTTAACCACTAAGCCAAGTCAATCTTACAACAAAATGCTGGTCACAATCATTCTAATAGCAGTAAACGTGTTTGGCATTTGAAGCTGGGGCATACTGAATCAGGGCCTGCAAGCTCGGCACTGACTTGTTCAGGCGGTGAACCCGGGGCATAAGACAACCCGGCCCAACCTCAGCCTGGACAGGACACATATACATAGACTATGATGCAAGATAAATTTGGTCAGTAGATTTTAGCCGGCCCCAGCTGGATGCTCCCAGCCCGGTACACCTCACAAAATTACTCTTAGATTAGAAAGTAGGCCCAGGCATGGGGCTTCAAGTTGGGCCCGGGCATGGGACTTCAACTTGTGCCCAGGCAGGTCACCATCAATGTCAATCGAAATTTGCCCACAATCTTTGGAATCTGGCAGGGTCTAATGGTAGAGTTGCCTTCTGGGTTCAATCCCCGGCCATGCTTATCCTTATGACATTTTCAACTTTTTTGTGGGGACTCCTCGAGGCATCTGCCAGATATTCTTATGCTTCTGATATAGGGTTGGATCGAGGGTTGTAATTTAACCTGAAACATGCATGTTTCCCTGTTTAAAAACCCTCTCACATTTCAAGGACCCATCTTCCCCCACACCCCTCCACTGCGACATGAATCACTTCACCCCCATGACGATCTGGACTCTATTGGGCATCCCTCCACCCAATCCCTACCCTGTAAGTTCTGTATCTCTCCATTGGCCTTAACCAGCTGATGATTCATCAGAAAGGAACCCGTGTGTGGTATAATATGTCTATCGGCGGCCTCATGTTTGCAACCGTGGACTCCACCAGCCGGTTGCCTGACGTGAGCAATCCCCTTGGTACTTCATTTTTTCCACTAACATGGTGATTAGGGTACCATGCTCTTAACTATCATTGACGATGATGGGGAGAAGGTGACCCTTCCGTACGTCCTCTTTTTTTTTCTGTCCAAACACCATTTCACCTATTATGAAAGAGCATGCGGCGTAACACGGGTCTCTTAATACATATCATTCCATACCACCTGTAACATTGAATTTGTCCAAAAAAAATTATCTGAGCTTTTGATGGGCCGGCTTATTCAGCTGGCCATAAGCATTGGGCTTCACCAACGCCAAGATGGAGCCAAGTACAAGGCCATCAATACGCTGTCACCCTAACTTCAACATAATAAACTTTGACGTAATGGACAATGCCCTGGCCTCATGTTTTGGGAGATAAAAAGTAAATGGGAATTTCTTGTTTTTTTTAAAACCATGACTCCCTCTCAACATTCACAAGATCTAGCTCACTACATCAAAGGCCGGCTGCTAAGTTCCAGAATGCCATTGATTCATGCTCAGCCTGCTAGACCAACATGGCTTCTTCCATCTGGACCTCAAGTTCAAGTTGAAAAGGTCATTAGGATGCTTGAAGAAGCCTGGAATCAATCCTGTAAGTCCGATGTTCAACCGGCGGTATCAGACAGGCCAATAAAGCCTTCCCAGATGAAACTGACTGGGATGTCTGAGATTATGTGGCCGAGTTATCACTGAGGCAGAGTGGAAGCAATGGGGATTTGGAAAACAGACTCCTTACAAGATTCCCACCAATCTACCAGTCAACATCGCCGGTCGACATCCCTTACCTTGATAAACCTTGCCACATAACTGACAAGGCCGGCCACATTCTTCTGTGGTACTTCCCAAAGTTAATCTCAGAAGATCTTCAGGTAATTTTATTTCCCCCAACAACCGAGAAGTTTTTAACTCAGACCGGTCCAGCAACTGATTTGGACCCAGACGGAGAATCTAAGACCCAAAAAGAAAAGTAATGGGAGTTGGCGGGATCAGATCCACCCCGACCACGGTGGCAAAATGACCGGCATAGTAAATTTATCACCCGGCTGGTTCTCCCAAGGACACAAAGGTCCTGCCAATCCACTTCATCCTTCCTCCGATATCCAACAGGCCAGTAACCTCATCTATCTTGAAACACTCTCCTTCATCAACACCGTTATCTCTGCCATATACTCCATCATTCGACCCGACCTATGTGAGTCAGGATTTGCGGTCTTTGACCAGCTCACTGAGGACAGTCCACTTCAGTCACCCACTGCCAACTGACTATTAGTCATGCAAACTCCACGTAAGTTACATGACTAAATGTCATGGACCATATCTATATTCTAGATATATATGGGTCCTAGAAAGCCCTGAAATCTAAAATATATTCTTGACACATGGACCCTGAAATGTCACACAAAAATTATAATGTCTGTGTCACACCACCAAAATATATTTTGCAAGTGAAATGCAGTAAGGATATATTTTTGGTCAGTGGACCCTGAAATGTCACTGTCACACACTTAGAAATATATTTTGCCCTGGCTTGGCCT